GAGCCAGCATTCAAGGCTGCTCTGTCCCCGGGTGGAGGGTTTGTGGCTGCTTCAGATGGCAGGCCCAGTGTGGCACGCAGGCTCTGCAGCATTTTGGCCTGCGTGGGGGTGCTGGGCTTGCCAGGGATCATGCCCTGCAGCGCAGCATCTTTGAACAGCACCCTCTTCGGACCTTCGTAGTGGGTGCACCACACCTGGTCGAAGTTGCACGTCCTCAGGTCACAGCGGCGGCTACTGTACAGTACAGGAGAATTACAGTACTGTACAGTATTACTTACTGTACATACAGTATTGCCTACAGTACAGTACAGTGCAGTTCTTACATCACAGACGAGAGGGAGAGGAGAGGAGAGGAGAGCAAAGGGCGAGGAGAGGGTATTGTGCTGTACTATACTGTCCTACTGTTCAAGACCCTGTGCGGTACTGCACTGTACTGTAGAGTGCACTTACTGTACAGTAGCATACGCCGGCAGGCACGCTGTTGCCAACAGGATGATGCCGCACCACAGTAAATTCTTTATTGCACTGTACTGTACAGTACTGTACTGTACTGTGTATGCAGCACAGTACTGTACAAGTTGCAGCTCTTGAAGCAGCCCAGATTCAGCTCCGGTCGGATGTTGTGGCGAGTCCGCAAGAACTCCACGCCCTGGCGAACCCTCTCCATAGATGGGTGGTCATATGGAAGGTGGCGGCCTGTGGTGTTCTTGCCCACAGCGTGTGCCTTGAGGCCCAAGCTCGTGCAAACCTTCCGCACGTGCCTCCTGATCCAGGGAAAGACAAAGAACACACGCGCGTTGCCCAACACAGAACATTACAGTGCAGCACAGTACAGTACTTACAGTACTGTATGGTGATTGCCTGAAGGTCTCGTGCTTCTGCGTTAGCACGATTGGGCGGAGCTGCTGCAGAGCCTGTTCGAAGTCCAGCTCTGACGCCTGACAGGACAGCTTTCAGTACGTTGTGTAATGTACAGCACGCAGTCTCAAGAACGGACAAAGCAGCAATGTACTGGGGAATAGCTGTGCTGTTATGTGCTGTTGTGGTTCCCCTGCAGCACCATCCACTCCTACAGTACAGTCCAACACATTACAGTACTGTACAAGACAGTGCTCGGTGACCCCATGGCCAACAGCATATGCTAACTGCAGTCCGCCTGCCCATTTCTGCCACACAAACGTACAACAAAAAAAACGCTGCGCTGCAGCTCGGGCCTGAGCAACTGCTTTCACGTCCTTGGCACTCGCGCCGGATGCCAGCTGGGAGTCTGCCTGCGCGAGCTTCAGCTCCCCGACACTCTTGGCAAAGCCCTCCACCTGCTCATTCCACAGCTCTACCAGCGAGCTGCAAACGCTGCTGGCATATGCCAGAGTAACTTCCTCACCTGCGATAACGTGGTCCATCAATAGCTTTTCCAGCGCAACACCCAATGCAAAAGGAATTTGGTGAAGGCCCTTCGATGTGCTGAACTTGCTGTTCGTGTGCTTCTTGACCAATCCAAGCATCCCTCGCACCGAGTTCGGCACCTCGCTGCAAAGCTTGGACATTTCGGGTGCGCATTTCACGAATGCCCTCCACTGGAAGTGGAGGGCAGATTTGGACCATCGGCCGAAGCATCCTTGGAAAGCAGCGGTCCTGCGCTTTTTAAGCATGTACTGCTCTGGCGACTTGATCTTTGGGTCTTTCTTGGCCTCCTCCCATTCCTGAGCTGCACGGCATCACGTTGATTGCACTCCACACAATACTGTACATACAGTACTGCACTGTACCGTGAGGGTGGGACTATACTGTAAAGTACTGTACTGTACAGAATACTGTACTGCAAGGCTGAGTTTCGTCTAGCAGCGCGACCTTGCGGAAGATATCCAAGCATGCATTCTTGCCCTTGCGCTCTATGTTCGCGCTCCTGCGGGTGTACAGCCTGCGCTCTTTCTTCATCTTCCGAAGCTCTTGCACGGAAGGGGCGTACATGACCACCCTTTTCTCTGTGTCCTTGGCGGGCTTGTCGCGACCTGTGGCGGGCCGGTCGCATGCGGAGCTGGCCGAATCGCGTGATGTCTTGTGCTTCAACCTGGTTCCTGAAAACCAGTTGGCACCGCCAACGGGCGCAGCATCTGTCTTGGACAGCCGCTGCCGCTTTGCTGCAGGTTCTTTGTCCACGATGGCTGCGGAGTCCGCCTGCCTGGAGGAGGACGAGGCCTCTGTCGTCTGCCGCTTTGCAGATGGCTCCTGCGCAAGTGCTTGTTCGACAGTGTTCCATATCTCACTTGCACGTCTTTTAGGCTGCGGCTTTGCAGCTGGCTGCTGCACAAGCGCATCTTCCACAGCGCTCGGTACGGCGCTCGCACTCTGCTCTTGCCGTGGCTGCTCTCGGAATTGCACCCAGAGTTCATCCTGCTCTTTGCTCGGCAAGGCGTTCCAATCACTCTTGTGAGTCTTGTACTTGCCCCACATGTTCTTCAGCTGCTCGGTTGTCTGATCATGCGTGACTGGCGGGGCCCATAAGCCTGTCGGTGGCTTGTAGTACTCCACGACGGGTTTCACCCGATACTGCTTCCAGTCGAACTCAGTTCCAATGGACTTTGTCCTGTGCTCAGCACTTAAGTTCTTCCAGCCTTGCGCGTGCACCAGGGCAGCCATCACCTGCACAGTACAGTATGCTTTGAATGAAAGACCGCTGCTGTGCAACACTGTACTCAGTACTGTACAGTACTGTACACCGTATGCTGTATGCATGCCAACTGCGGTTCCGCACTGTGTACATTACTCTACTGTACTATACGGTACTGTATATAGTACACGAAGATACATTCCACGGCACTGTCCGCCTACAGTGCAGTACAGTACTGTACAGTACTGTACTGTAAGTACAGTACAGTACAGGTGTCCCCGCCTGAGCCTGCAGCACGGTGCCAGCCATTGCGTTGCCGACTAGGTCTTTCGCAAGGCTAGGTTTCTCTCTGATAAATTTCTCCACCTCCTCGGCAAACTCAAAGTCGTTAGGGAACAAACCCTGGCAGAGCCACTGCTCACGGAGGGTGAGGTATCTCTCCATCCTTGCCGAGTAGATTTCGTGCGACGGCCGCACACATGTGGAGGTTGCATAGCTCATCTCGGGCTTTCGCTTGAGTGATGTCTGCGTGTCGATGAAAATGTCAATATCGGCACGCAGCGCAGCCTCCTCTTTCGCCTTTTCCACTACTTGAGCTCCAAGTGCTGACCTTGGACTTTCCTTGGGCAGGCTCGCATCGAAGACTTGCTCTGCTAAAGAGACGTCCGATGCCAAGTCTGCGAGGGTCTGTCCCATGGCCGACTGGAGGTTGAAGGGTTCGCGGCCTGACTGGACGTCTCCTAGTGCGTAGACCCGGTTCCTGCGCTGCGGCAACAAATAGCCTTGCGCGTCCAGCTTCTTGAATTGGAAGGTGTAGCCTAGCGATGCCATGTCGCTCTCCATGACCTGCATGCACTGCACTGTACTGCGCTGTACAGCACTATACCGTACTGTACTGGGAATATCTGTGCTGTTATGTGTTGTTCCTACAGTACAGTCCAATACATTACAGTACAGTACAGTACTGTGCAATACAGTACTCGGCGACCCCATGGCCAACAGCATATGCTAACTGCAGTCCGCCTGTCCATTTCTGCCACATGTACAACAAGGAAACCCTGCGCTAAAGTCATGTTCCCCGACCGGCCTGGACCAAAGGAGTCTTTCTCTTGCCGTTCTTCTGCACCGGCGAATCCAAAATGCCTACGACTTGCTCAAAGAAGAGAAGGGCTGGAGCCAACTCTTTGCTCGCTTGCAGGACACCATTCTGGTACGTGCTCCCAGAACAGCCCTTGCCTTTCTGGTAGCCTGCATGTGCACAGACAAAAACAGATTGCCATGCGATACATCACAGTGCAGCGCTGCACTGTACATACAGTACTGTACAGTACAGTGTAGTGATGTAGGTTGCGGTACAAGTATGCGGAACACTACAGTACTGTACTGTACTGCGTTTCGACCTGTACTGTACAGTACAGTGTGGCCGTCCAGCAAAGCACTAACGTTATGCCGAGCAACAATCCTGGTAGTCTGTCCGCGAGTTGTTCATCCTTGAAATGGACTTGCAGCTGGAGCCGACCACAAGAACGTCGACGTCAGGCGCCTCGTGTACTCGCCGGCACGTGTGGCAGAATGCAGTCTTGCCCTTGGCGAACATGTCCACCGTTTCGAAAAGGCAGAAGGTGGGCTTGTGTGCGCGCATCAGAAAATCGCGCTTGCCTTTATCCAGCTCCACTGCCAGCACATGTTTGACGCTGATGGAGACCTGAGCGTCAAACGATCACACGATACAGCGCAGGAAAGTATACAGTACCATGCTGTACTGTACGGTATACAGGTACAGTACCGTACTGTACTACACTGTATTGTACAATGCAGCACGGTCTCAAACAAGGGAACCGCCCGGGTAACCGCACTTCCCGACGCAGCTGTGCAGTAGGGACACGGTACAGTCACAGTACTGTACAGTACAGTGTTCATGGCAGCTTGTAGGAGGAACCCACCCCACCCAGGTATACACGGAGTCACGGAACGAAGGCGGCTGGCCCGGAATATATGCTAACTGCAGTTCTCTGCAGGGTCTTGACAACAGAAATTATACAGGAAGGGTTGCCATCCACGTTGCCCGCCAGCCGCACATAGTACGGCACTGTACGGTACTGCAGAATGCGTGGACTACTGTACTGCACTGCACTGTACAGTACTGTACGGTACAGTACTGCATAGTACACTACTGTACTGTGCGCTAAGGTGGCCTGGTGTTGCTCGGCCAGGAACTGCAGCGTGTGCTTGAACACGTTCGTGCACACATCTGTCCCTGAGCAAGTGCTGCCCAGCTTGATTTCGCAGCCATTCAGCCCTTTGACGTTAGCGCTCAGCTTCCCTCGATCTGCCTCCGACAGACGCTGCAAAAAGTAGCGAGCTGTGTCCCGGAGGCTGAGAGCGGGGATCTCTGCCTTCGGAGTGGCTTCCTCCTCCACGACATCGGATTCCACGGCCACCGTCCTCCTGCAGCCGTGGCCGCCCCGAAGTCGTATATTTGTCGACGGGGCTCGGAGGTTGCTGAGCCGACAGCTGTAGACGGCCAGGTGTTGGTGCAACCTGGCTTTCCACGCCGTCTGTTCGGGTGCCGTGGCCTGCTTGTAGGCAGCAGCCTTGGTGAGCTCCCAGGTGGTCGTCAGCCGCCTGTGCTGCACAAGCGAGGCCTGGATAGCCACCTTGTTATCCGTCTTGGTCTGCACCAGAAGCATCTCACCACCAGCAGTGTATCTGCTGGTGGTGAGGAGCTCGAAGCTCTTCCGCTTCTGATTGGCTGCCTCCCGCACTCTGTCCATGAGGGTGCGGGACAGAGTGGCCACGGCATACTTCTTGGGAGCGGACGCCGAAGTGGTGCTTTGAGACTGGTCACCTTCCTCGTTCGTCTCCTCACCCTTCTTGTCTTCCTTCTTGTTCTTGGCTCCCTCCGCTGGCCTGTACTTGACAGAGCCGATGGCCCCGTGTTTGCGATAAAAGGCAAGAGGCTTTGGGAGCTTACGAGGGTTGGACACGGGGTTGGCCCACGTCTTCTCTCCGTACATTGGCACGTTGCTCTGCACGCAGTGGTCAGCTTTCCTGGCTTTCCATAACTTCGGGTCAGAGATGCGGAAGGGCTTGCCCACATCCACGGTGCCGTAGACTCGGTCCTTGAGACACACCCAGGTGCGGCCAGGCCGTAGTTGCCGGTTGCGGATCTCCAACGTTTTCTCTCCCTGGAAGATGCTCTGAAGGATCTCCATTTTGCCAATGGAAAGCATGGTCTCCATGTTGGCAGGTCTCGACTCCTTGGGACAGACCAGAAGTGCACTTCCAACCCAGGAGTTACGGTACAGTACTGTACTGTATTGTACTGTAAAGTATATTACAGTAATGTGCTGCACTGTACTATGGCATATATATGACCTGTGTTCAGCAGGGCCGACTGCTTTACACAGTACTGTATGTACTGTACTGAACTGTACTGTACTGTACTGCAAGCACAGAACTCCCCATTGCCCTCCTCATCTGGCTCCACTTCCGGATCGACTTCGTGCACCTCCTCCTCCTCTGCTTGTTCACCTTCGTCATCTTCCTGCTCCTCCTCCTCCTCCTCCTCCTCCTTCTCATCCTCCTCCTCCTCCTTCTCCTGCTCCTCCTCATCCTCCTCCTCCTCCTCTCCTTCGCCCTCATCATCTTCCTCCTGTTCAGCATCAACTTCCTGCTCCTTCTCCCCGCCCTCGCCTTTTTCATCTGCCTCCGCTTCCTCACTGAGTTCCTGCTCCTGCTCCTTCCCTCCCTGACTCTTTTCTTGCAGCCCCTGGTTGTTTTCCTGCCGCTGCTCCTCTTCCTGCTGCCCGTTGTCGCTTTCCTGATGCTTCTCCCCTCCCTCGCCCTTGTCCTCTTCCTCCAGTTCCTCAACTTCCCTCTGCTCATCATGCAACTGCTTGTCAGCCTGCTCTTGCTGCTGTTCAAGCCCCTGATGACTGGTCTCACCTGCCTCATCCTTATTCTTGTCTGGGATGTCCACCTGCTGATTCTGCCTCTGCTGCGGGAGCTCGTTCTTGGCCTCACCTTTGGTCTCAGTGTCCTCCTCCTTTTTCTCTGCATTCTCATCCTGGCGATTCTCCGTCAGTAGCTTCGGGGTCTCCGCAGGCATCGGCGGCTCCTCGCCCTGTTCCGGGGACTCGCTGTTGGCCGTTCCCTCCTTTATCTGCTCCCCTCTCTGCTCCTGGGACTCGGCCTGTTTGTCCTTCTGCTCCTCCGTGATCTGCGGGGCCATCGTCTCAACTTCATCCCCCTGCAAAACGTTCTCCTGATTCTGCTCCTCAGGCTTGTCGTTCATCGGTTCCATCTGCTGGCCAGGAAACCGATCATTGTACATTTCACAAACAGGGGCGGGCTTCACTGTAGGCGGCACGGGGATCACCATTCCGATCTGCTCATCGCCTTCGGAATACGGGAGAAGAAGATCAAAGTGGCTGCATCGTCTGCCGTCCTCGCCTGTGAGACAGCGGAAGTACACATGGACATCATAGGTGTCGTCGGTACAATCCCCATAGATGGCATCCTCGTTGATGCCGACAACCCACTGCAGCACCTCCAGATAACAGCGGATACTGTACAGTACACCACTGCGCAGAACTGCGCTGAAGGAAAGTCTTTGGGCATTGTGACTTATGCAAATGCTTCCCCCCTGTGTCTGGTCAGATCCACAAACATGCGTAACGACTTCAATTCTCGAATGTGCTGTACGTACAGTACTGTACTGTGCCCCTCATGCCCCCATGCCTGCTCAGCAGGTGCTAACTGCGCAGTTTCCCTATGAGCGCCTCTGCGTCCACGGTGCACCGTACCCGCAGCTCCAGCGAACGTGCAAGCCAGTGCAGCTCTTGCACGTCCACAGGCATCTGCTGGGCGGCGTTGTGGGCGAGCCGCGCCAGCCACTCCGGAAATTCCAGGTCGGCTGTTGCCTCCAGCGCCAGGTTCCGGAGTGCGTAAGCCGCCCCTGCTTCCAGCCGCTGTTGCCGACTGTTCCTGGCGAAGCCCAACGACGTTCGGTCTATGCCTCGGGAAACAATGTGCTAGCACTGCAGGACAGTGCAATGCGTACCGTACTGTACAGTACTGTACTGCACAGACATGTGGCACAGAAAGGGCGGACGCTCCAATTGATATGCTAACTGCGGTTATTTGTCCGGTTTCGGAATTTGACACAGTACTGCGCAGTACAGTACAGTACTGTATTGTAATTACCACGCCGTACAGTACAGTACTGTAGTACAGTACAGTAGTACTGTACATTACTGTACAGTATGTACTGTAATGTATGCCGTGCCGCGCAGGTATCTGGCACAGGCGAGGCCGGCAATCAGGGCATGGTAGCAGCAAAGTCCATCAGGAGGCACGGGTATGATCTGGGCTTGGGTGCGTCTCTCAACCCGCTGCATCCCTGCTTCCGTGGTGGCTTGGATGGCCCTCAGTGCCAGTGCCCGTGCTTCGTCCTCGAACGTGACGCCCAGCTGTTCCAGTCTGGCTGCTGTGAAGCTGGTCCTACCCGCTCTCCGACCCACGTGGGAGTTCGGCTCCGCTCTACAGCACTGGAGACCGTTGTTGAATTGCACCTGCCATGAAATAGGCCCGGGGAAGGACATAAACAGCAGCTGCTCGGCGGACGGATTTGCCTGGCGCAGGATCTCCAGATCTTCGTGATGCTGCTGCGGCGACGCCCCTCCTTGCACCACCATGCCCACTCGTTTCACGTCGAGAGCCTTCCAGCGTTCCTGCAGCTCGGGTGTCTTCAGCACGTCCCGCAGGGGCGTCCCAGAACTCAAGATCAAGTCCCGGCAGACAAGATCGGAAGTGGCAGCCAGGAGGCCGCGAGGGTCGGTCGCAGAATGCAGATACCTCAGCATTCCCTTGTACACGCCAACCTCGGCGACACACAGCTCCGGCCCCATCTGCGACATGGGTGCTAGGAACTCCGCCGTAATGTCTTCGGCAGTTGCAAGCACGGCAGGCGTCTCAGTCTCAGCATCGGCTAGTTCCAGCACGGCTTGGCCCAGTTCTTGCGAGCTCGAATGCTTCAGCAGTGCCCGGATAGCTTTCTGCGACTCCCCTGCTGCTGAGCCTTGATTTTCCAGCTCCTTGAGCGACTTCTCCACCGCCCCGCTCTGCTCAGCAGCTTGCATACTCTGCAAGAAAGCACAGGCTGCAGCAGCGGATTTGTGCACCTGCGGCATTCAGATGAAATGAAACTCAATCTACAGTACTGTGCAGTATCATGTTGTACAGTACAGTACAGCACAGTGCGGTACTGTACAGTACAGTACCGCAAGTAGCAATGCAGAGCAGCACACAGCTTGCGCTACGGTACATGACTACTGTATACAGTACAGTACAGCGTTGTGCTCCACAGTACTTTACAGTAGTTGAGCACGGCGATGTCCAGTTCTGCAGAAGACGGGCCTTGAGCAGCATTCCCTTCTTCCCACTCCATTCGGCGTGGAAGCCGTCAGGACGGCTTCGCAAATTGAAGCCAGAAGGAACTTCATCTAGGTGGGCGAGTGTCTTGAGGGCAACCAGGCACAGCCGGTCTTCCACCTGCTGAATGCGGCCGTTCTGCAGCGACTCCACCAAGAGACAGCGTTTTGCTTCAATCGTAGCTGAAGAGGCAACGGACAAGTCCATGCTCTGCAGGAAGGCAAGTGCGTCTTTGGATGATTTCAACTCGAAATCGCAGAGAATTCTCTCTGCCTCTTCCTTCCAGGCGATCGCCACCGCATCCCTTGCCTCACCCCAATGCACCGCTTGAAATCTCCGGTAGGTGCTCTTGTCCAGGTTTGCCCGGGTCTGTTTCATGAATCGGTGGACACCCGGTGGCAGGGCGGGCAGTTTCGCATCGCCCTTCTCTGAAGCAAGTGGGGCCTCAGAGACAGCGTCGTCTTCGGCCGGCGGCCCAGCGCTGGTGGCAGGCTCCCCCGGAGCTTGCGCCACCTGCTGGCTGGCCCGCCTGGCTCGCGCCATCTCCTGCGCACTCACATTCTTCATCAGCATGTCCATCACGGAGGTCATGGCGGGCTTGGTGTTTTTTTGGCGAGGGCGTACAATAACTTGAGGCTTGATTAAGCTGCTACGGTCGGGCACAGGGACGCACAGCTGTCTTCGGTGAACTGTATACTGTGCTGTACTATACAGTACACTGCTGTATATACTGTACTGCAGTTGCGTGCAGTGCTGATCGCAATGGGTGGAAGTGCAGTGCATCACTGTACTGTACGCACAGCACTGTAACTGTACAGCACTTCGAGCTCCCGACGAGATGCTCCGCTGCCCGCAAAGGCCTCGCCAAGCACTTGCATCCCACAGTGCCCCGAGAATATATGCTAACTGCAGTCGGTTGTGCCATTTTGGCATAGAGCAGCAATACAAACCCCTCAGCCCCTCAACCCTAGACTCGGAGAGGTTGCACTCCAGGGTCCAAGCAAGCTGGAGGCCGAGCGAAGAGACCTGACCGTAGCTCCGCTGCCCGCAAAGGCCTCACCAAGCACTTGCCTCCCCCAATGCCCCGAGAACATATGCTAACTGCAGTCGTTTGTGCCATTTCGGCATAGAGCAGCAATGCAAACCCCTCAGCCCCTCAACCCTACAGTAAACTCGGAGAGGTTGCACTCCAGGGTCCAAGCAAGCTGGAGGCCGAGCGAAGAGACCTGACCGTGGCGAGAGGCCCGGGGTTCCCGGGAACGGGCTGGGGTTGCAGGGCAGTCTACAGTACTGTACAGTACTGTGCAGTGGCCCTGCTGCCGGAGCGGCTCCACTACTGGTAGCAAGAGTACTGTAGTGACCTGCTACATGGCCGATGTCTCCGTATGTCGTTTGCAGCACACGGCCGACTCAGGACATACCGCCTCCGGAGATGTCGATGCCGGCATGGATCTGTCAACGGCCTCACAGCCACATCAATCAGCAATGGGTCCGAGCATGCAAGCCAGCACCGTACGTGGAGACCAGCAGTGCTCCGGTATCCCTTTTCCCGCGAGCGAACCCCAATCGCGATCCGATGATCCATGTTGCCGTGGCCAAGATCATGTGCTTCCGTGGAGCTTCGTGTCTGCATCCTGCAGACGACCACCTTGTGGCACCGGCTCACCCTGCCTGACCGAACCTACAGGGGATCGGGGAGCAGCACGTCGAGCACGTGGAGATGGCGTCTTTGGGCCCACGGAGGACTGCAGCTGCACAGCATCGGCACGATCAACAGCATCGGCACGATCAGCAGAGGACTGCTGCTGCACGGCATCGGCACGATCAGCAGAAGATCCAGCCGCATGTGCGGGCCACCCAAACATAGCACTCCAGAGATCTGCTAGTGATGCCAAGGATCCTCTTGGGCGCTCGCTCTCCACTGTGTTGTCCTCGACGTCCTGGCATCCAGTTCGGCGGCGCCTTTTAAGATCCGGGACTGGCACATCGGGGCTCCCAGAGTGACTGCGACGGATGTGAGTAGCAGGAGTGACATGCTGCTCGTTCCCGGCCGGCTCAGACATTGCCGATCGTCAAATCGTGAGTGCGACCACCGTCGTCGAGGAGCCGTAAGTGCTACGGCAGAGAGACATGCCCAACTACGGTGCAGCAACACAGCATGAATATGCCCGAAGCAAGAGCCTGCCGAGGAGACCCAAGGCCCAGGCCAATGACTCGTGTGTTGTCGGTGCCAGGTCATCCAAGGAAGCCTCGCAAGACACAGAGACATCATGTTGCCACAACAGGTGCCGCTGCATTCTCGGGCTCCGGGACCTAAAGCACTGCGAAGACTACCACAACGAAGAGGCCAGCAAACCTCAAGCCCGAGGTCCAGGCCAACGATGCACCCAAGGATGTGCCCACCACCTGCTCCCCGTTAGTGAAGTACACAGCAACGACGGGGCCCAGCAGAGGAGGCAGCTGACGCCCAAGGTCCAGGCAGCCTCGATGATGCCGTCATTCGGAGCAGGAACCTGACCAAGGGCAAGCACCAAGCAGCATTTCGGACTAGGAAAACAGAAGTAAAGGAGGCATGCCAAGGACCAGGCACCCGAGACCCGCAGCACACGAAGTGCACAGAAACAGAGGCCTGCATCGGGATGGGCACGACTGATGCACCTGCCCACGAGTCAGCACACGCAGACGTGTCAGTGGAATACGTGTGCAGGCATACCCAGACAAAGATGCACGCAGCCGACAGACAATGTTTGCACATGCGAAAGCCACCCCTCCGGTACATCCGTGAAAGTCAAGGTGAAACTCGCTTGCTGATGTTGTGTGGCTGTGGGCTTTTCTGCTGCGCTGTGCTGTGTGATGCTGTGTGATGCTGTGTGGTGTCGTGTTGTGTTGTTCTGTGATGAGATGGGCCCTGGCAACACATGAGCACATGCAAGCACCTTCTCCAGGAAGTGGCGATGTCGCTTGCCCGGCTCCAGCAGAGTCGCGATGATCTTCCGAGACCTGTCGCAGCAAACCGTTGAGGAAGGCAAAAAAAAGTTCAAAGCAGGGACACGGCCTGGCCAGCACCCGGGAGGTCAGGAGCACCAGCGACCTAGCATGAAGAAGGGGAGCGAAGAGCACCAACCCGAGGCCCTCCTGTGCACGCACTCGCAACAACGAAGAACCCAAAAGCCCCAAAGCCCAACAAACCCACGGAACAAACTGAACCAAGCC